ATCACACGTGAATTATATGTAAATACATAAATCACATATGATAATACATGTAATTCACATGTTAATCACATGCAATTCGCATATGAATCACATGTAAATCACAAGTTAATCATGTATGAATTACATGTGATTTACATATGAATCACATGTAATTAACATGTAAATTACATGTAATTAACATGTAAATTACATGTAATTCACATATGATTCACATGTAAATCACATATAAATCACACGTGATTCACATGTAAATCATATATAAATTACATGTGATTTATATGTAAATTATAAGTGAATCACATATGAATTATGTCTATATTGATATATGCATTTTGTGTGAATGCTCTTAATTATTATGATTATTATTTTTTAATTTTCTTGTGAATTTTAAATATGAATCTTAAAAAATACAATCACATGTGAATCTTACATGATAATTTTACATATGAATCTTAAAAAATACAATCACATGTGAATCTTACATGATATATAAATATGTTTTTTGTAAGTGTTCTTGCACACACACACACACACACACACATATATATATATATATATATATATATATATATATATATATATATATATATATGCAAGAACACTTACAAAAAACATATTTATATATCATGTACGATTCACATGTGATTGTATTTTTTAAGATTCATATGTAAAATTCACAAGACACGTGCTTTGAAATTTTGACACAAAGACACGTGCTTTGAAATTTTGTAGCATTTTTTCTATATTTTATTTTGTATCGAATAAAATACTTGTGTTATTATATTTATAAACTAGTAATAAAAATGAGTTTTTTATAATTTACTTATGAATATTATAGTATAAGAAATATACATATATGTACTTGAAAAAATATGCATTTATGCATATAAAACGTTGATTTTTTTGGTTAAAAAATATAGTTTTTTAATAGTCTAGTATTTATTTTTATTTTTATTTTTTTAAATACTGATTTTTAAAAATCAATTGTTTTTTTTTAAATTGCATTTTTTTAAATCAATTTTTTTAAATTCATGTTTTCTAAAAAAAGTTAAAAATCTATAGTTAGGGTAACTTGCATGTTTAGTCATCAAAAAGAACTTTTAACTTGGACCCTCGTAGAGATTTAAGTTTGTTACAATTCCAATCCCTTAAACTTTATTATTATTATTATTATTATTATTATTGCATATTTGGTCCTAACTAAACATAAAAAGACAATTTTACACTTATCAATTTTACATTCAGATTTTTGCATATTTGGTCCTAACTACATAATTACTTGCATATCTTTTTTCTTGATTGTTCTAATATGGTCGACTACTCATCAGCTCGTATTCTGCCCTCTTCATTATCCTCCATCTTCAACGCCTCACATATATTGGATGATCAGATCAACCATCATTTCATTATATTAAACTGGTGCACAACGACCATCACAGAAATATCGTGAATCGGAGTTCCAACATCATCAATGACATGAATCGGAGCCACCACACCACCATCTTTGCACTCCCTTGGTTCTTCAAACTTAATTTGGAAATCGTTTCAGATACCTCATAAATCGGTGTTACCGCTACAAAAATCGTTTATGAAATCAGTATGTTTAAGAAATCATTATCATTTCATAAACCCCACATTTGATTTTAATTTGGGTTTCATAGATCGATGGTTGATTCATGTTTGATTTTGATTTTTAAATCGAGATATTGAAATCGTTTCGAAATCAGAGATATTGAAATTATTTTTGTTTTTTCTTTTGGAATCTGGAAAATGATGATGATTATGAAGATATGGAGAGGGATGGGATTGGCGGTAGCAATTTTTTTCACCTCGACGCTGACATTGCAAGTGAAACCGAATACATCAAATGGGATGATTGTTCAGGGTCTCTTTGGATCGTGGAGAATCGGATCTCGGTGGTAATGTGATGGGTATAAAGAGAATTTTAATTAAAATGCTTAGATCTATGACGACAATAGTGATTATTATTTCTTTGTTTGAGAATTAGAGTTGTTGTTCTTAACCGATATGAAAATAAGAGAAAAAGATCGGGGGAAGAAAACGGTATACACAACTGCTTTTTTTTTTTTCCTAGCATTTTAATGGTGTCTTGTGTGCATTCAGTGTGAGGAAGAGAGCACAATGAAGATGAGGGGAGAAAAATAGCGCGCGCACATATATATATATATATATATATATATATATATATATATATATATATATATATATATATATATATATATATATATATATATATATAGAGAGAGAGAGAGAGAGAGAGATGTAATGTAGGTTCCATTTGAATTAATTTATTAAAAAAGTAAGATATAAACAATAAATAAACTAAAGGGTATTATATCAGGACCAAGCACAATAAAAACAAGAGGTACAAATTAAAAATTCTGTTTATAGACCAAAGATAAAAATAACCCCAACCCAAACCATAGGACCATTCGTGTAATTTACTAAAAAAAAAAACATAAAAATACGCCTGGGCCTATGTTTATTATTGGGCTTTAATAGATCTTCTCTAATCTAAAGCCCCAAAAGCTCAATGATTTGAAAATTGAAACTCGTCAATTTTCGATTTCTGGTTTCTAAGTCGCAAATTTCCGCCATAGATACCTTCCACCAAGCTTGACGCTTGCTTCCTTCGCTTCAGAGTCTTACCTGTCTCTCCTTAATCGAATTTTACAGTGTTTATTTGATCGAATTTGGAGATGAACGGCGAGGAGTTGACTGAGCAGGAAACCGCTTTGTATGATCGCCAAATTAGGGTTTGGGGCGTTGATGCGCAAAGAAGGTACACACTCGATCATTATTCATCTTTCCTTTGTAGTTTTCCTATCTTCAATTCCCTAATATGATTATTTTTCATACAACTTTTGAACTGTAATTTGTTGGCTCGTTTCAGGCTCAGCAAATCTCATATATTCGTCAGTGGACTCAAAGGCACCGCCGTAGAGGTTAAGCTTCGTCCAACTCCTTAATTTTTTTACACTCTTGTTTGCACATAACTAGTCGATTACTTCTCAATATCTGGATAATTAGCGATTTCGTAATTAATTAAACACCATTTTTGCGTTTGTTAATAACTGCATTGAAGCCTAATACTCTGATATATTATCAAACTCTTTCTCCGATACTCTACTTTCATAATCTAACATTAGATCAACCATTGGAAGTGGTTAGAACCTTAGATGAGAAATAATGTTAATATAACACAGAAAAATCTTCTTCAAATGGTGTTCTGTTTCAATTCTCATATATTCAAGTATTCAACTTCACCATTGATTATAGCAGCGTTACCTACTTCAATTCATCTGTGTTTAATAATGCAGTTCTGCAAGAACATTGTTCTGGCTGGTGTAGGAAGTTTGACATTGAATGATGATAATCCAGTCACAGCAGAAGCACTAGCTGCTAACTTTCTGATTCCTTTTGATGAAAACATGGGTGGTGGAGGTTCTCTCGCAGAGCTTTGCTGTGACTCACTGAAAGATTTCAATCCTATGGTTCATGTTTCTGTAGAAAAAGGTATCCTTTTAGAGAAGATGATCCAATCCTTTAATCTGAAATTTATAATCCTGTTTAAGTCGATTCTTACTTGTTACTAATACCATATAATGATATTTTTTTCTACAGGAGATTTGTCAAGCTTTGGTGTAGATTTCTTTGAGAAGTTTGATGTTGTGGTTATCAATTGCTGCTTACTTGCAGCCAAAGTATATTATTCTCTTTCATATTAATGATTTAATTTAATTCTATCTTATTCAAATCCATATAAAACTAATATTTTTCTTATTCCTTGATTCTACAGAAATCAGTGAATGAAAAATGTAGGAAGTTATCAAAACGAGTTGCGTTCTACAGTGTTGATTGTAGAGATTCTTGTGGTGAAATATTTGTTGATTTGCAGAAGTATTGTTACGCCAAGGTGATAATTTTGATCCTTTAACTTCTTATTACTTGATAAAAACTCAAATCGTAAATTAAATTCAAAAAATTATCTTGTTTGATTAATGTTTTGAATTTTTTTTTTTTTCTTTTGTAGAAAAAGATTGATGAGACAATTGAATGCCAGTTGCAGTATCCATCATTTGAGGTATCACTTAATTTTAAAATACGATTTTGTTAGAATTATATTTAAATAATCAAAGATTTGGCAATTGTCAACAATCCAAACAAAATAAATAAATAAATAGTCAACCAGTTAAAGAAAATATTGTTTTATGTTTGTATCATTTAAGTACCTACTATCCACTTATAGACAAACATGCCCTTTTGCTTTTATACACAACAAAGCTTGTTTTATTTTCTATATTTGCGTTTCACTTGAATCCTCAAATCAACTTTTACAAATTTTACTTTTATCAAATATATAAAAATAAATAAAAATTCGTGTATGATTATTTATTTTACAGGAAGCCATTGCAATACCATGGAGATCTCTTCCAAAGCGTATGTCAAAGCTTTACTTTGCTATGAGAGGTACACCTTTAACACAATCTTAATCCTTTAATTTATTTTTTAATCAATTTCTTAATTAAATTTAACTTTTTATTTTTTTATTTTTTTACAGTGGTAGAAAGGTTTGAAGAGGTGGAAAAGCGCAAACCTGGTGAAACTTCAATTGCTGACATGGCAAACGTCTTAAAACTCAGAAATGAACTTTGCCTTGCACATGTATAGAGATAATATACGCTAATCTAATTATTTGTTTATTTATTTAAATAAAATTATAACTTTTTAAATTTTATTACAGTCGCTAAATGAATCCCAGATTCCAGACACTCTTCTAGAAAGATTGGTCGTGTCGACTAAAGAATTTCCTCCTGTTTCTGCTGTACTTGGGGGAATCCTTGGTCAGGTAAAATTGATTAAATCTAAATCTAATTATAATTTAATTTAAAATTTAAATATAACTTTTTACTATTTTTTACTCATTTGAATTTAAATCAACAGGAAGTAATCAAAGCAATATCAGGAAAAGGCGATCCTTTAAAGAATTTCTTCTTTTTTGACGCGGTTGACGGAAAAGGCGTTATAGAGGATATTTCTACTTCTACCCCTTGAACTTTTACTTTCTTGTCAGGTAGATTCTACTTATTAACGAATTGAATGCTGCATTTAATCTAGGAAAAGACTCTTGTATCTCATTAAATTACTCCAAATAGATTGCTTTATAACATCGAAAATTACAAAAAAAAAAAAAAAAGTATAAATTAGACCTCAATAGCTTAACAAATCCCGTCAACCAAACAGTTTCTAACGAAACATTATTCCCACAATAATAATAATAACTAAAAATAGATCGATGATTCATTAGCAACGGAAAAGATTACTTCTTTTTAGGAACTGCATCTGTTGTTGTTGTTGGTGTTGCATCAGTGGATGGATTAAGCTCATTCCAAGCTTCAATCCATGTCACCATTTCTCCTGCAAGCTTCTCAAAGTAAGGATCAACAGGTGAAAGCTTCTCCTTCACAAGCTTCGAAAGCTCCAAATAACATTTCTGTGGAGTTGTACACTCTTTAGGCAAAACAACAGATTGAAAAAACGGAATAATCTCTTCTTGCCAATAAATCCCCTTGTATTCCTTCTTCAAGTTAACAAAAGGATTACTCGCTTTACTATGCCAGATATAAGGTAATCCAGTTTTCACTCCGAGCCCTAAATGATCACAAATCACCTTCGCACACCACCCCGCCCACATATCGTCGTACCTCCCAATCGGCTGACCATCGCCCATGAGTCCGAAGTACATCGCCGGTCCGATGAGTTCCCGGTGGAACCCTAGGTTCATTCCGCACATCGGGAACAGAGTTCCTTTAGGGATGGTTAACACAGCGTCGACGTACCTTGTGTTACGCTCGCGTGGCTTCACGAGCTGTGTTGGCGCGTCGTAGTCGGGGATGTTGAGCCAGAGTCCATGGGAGATCGCGGTGGTTACGCCTTCACGTAAACTGAACGGGTATCCCCTCACGAAATCTGCACCTTCTCTGTATGGATCGTACAATGTGTTGAAGAAGAACGGCGTTGATGGCGATAACAGGTTGTGAATGTGCTGTGCTAATGCGTTGATCTCTTGCCCCGATGGATCCTTCGCAACCTTCATCAATCAATCAACATACACGTGTCAGAGTATTTTATACATAATTGAATTAGTGTTAGATTGAGAGTTGAGAGTTAGAGAGTTGAGAGTTGGATCTTACGAAGCAGTCGTCGTCAATGGTGAAGATGTATTTCTTCTTGGAGACGAGAAATCCGAAGCAGCGACAAGCGGAATCCTTGAAGGAAATGCAACTGGCTTTCGGACCTAAGATCCGATTGATGTCGTTTCGGTTGTAGAGCTCGTAATCAAAGCCTTCAGGAACGTGGATTTTTTTGGTCGGATCTCCGTCTTGAACGATGATCAAATGGTAAGGCTGGAAGAAGGATCTCCACTGTTCCAGAAAGTCGAGGTTCCTGATCGTCGGAATGACGATGTCGAGTTCATCAGTCAACGGTGGTACCACGGTGGTCGCCGGCACAGACATCGCGAAGACTTCCCGGAATCAAACACTGAGAGAGAAAGTGAAAGATAGAGGGAAAGACGTGGAGGGAGTTGTGGGGTTTAGGTGGAAGTCAGAGGAGATTATTTATAAAAGGAGAAAGAAGAAAGGAAGGGGTGAGTGTGAGTGGTGTCACATGGGGGAGGGGGGTTAGCCACGTTAAGAAGAAGGGTGAAAGGTGTTTATCTCTCTTCTTTTATTCTTTTTATATATATTTTACTCATGATAATAATAATAATTAAACCAGCTGTCAAAAAAATATATATAGAGCAGTTGAGAATGAGATGAATGTGTTTTGAAATTTAGATTCCATGATAATTTATTAAATGCAAAATAGGAAATAATTATATGATAAGTAAGTAGTTTTGAGTTATGAGTGACATAAATGGGTGTGAATTTCGAGAAGTACATTGCGTAAGGGTCACGAGATAAATAGATTAATTTTACTTTGCTTTGGTTAGTACAAAATTTATAACATGGGACATGTGAGAAATAAATATAAAGGTGCGTCTCTGTAACACTGGATCTCGTTATGCAACGTTAAGTTAGGCCGACTTTTGTTACGTGAATTCAGGTTAGAAAAGAAAAGTAAGAATAAAATATAAAATAAAAAGAATAAGTGTAAATAATAGTTTTGAGTATGTAGAGAAGATTTCATTCCATTAAAATCTTAACCTTAGCACTCTCGTGATTGGATTTTACTATTTTTACCTCGAAATACTCGGGTCACATGAATCCAGGTATAACGTAAGTATTTGGAGGTGAAATACGCATGTAATGTTACATGAAAGTAATGATAACTAATTTCCTAAAATAATTAATTGTTTGTTCTAAAATACTTTTCTTGAGTAATATATGTTTATGTTTATTCGTGACATTTTTTTTTCAAATAAAAGGACATGCTACAGTGTTAAGATTTTAATGGGATGTGTCGGTAGTCGTACTAGAGAAAAAAATGGAACCCAAATTTATTGTCCTTGGAAATAGTGTATAACAAAGGTTTGAGTTTGTTTAGAAAATACGAACATTTAAATTCTATTTTTTATCTTTACAGTACTTAGAACAATATATTATCTTAGATTGATTTTAATTATTCACATTATGTAAAAAAAACGCCGGATTTATATGTTAGTAACAAATAAAAATTGCTTTAGTACAATAGTAGGTATTAGCTGTATTGTTTAAGCCCACACTTTTCTTGCATTTGAGGCCCAATAGGCAATAATGGCGAAAAGTTGTCAAATTTCCAAAATAGAAAACCTGAATGGTATGTTTATGTCATTTTGATCATTGGGTTTGTGCTACGAATAATAATGATATGTGTCTATTAAAACATTATCAGTGGTTTGTTTATTATTATTATTATTATTATTATTATTATTATTATTATTATTATTATCAATTCTCGATTAAAGATGTGTTTGGTATGGAGCTTTTGAAAGCATTTGGGAGCTTCTAGCTTTTAATAAAACGTTCTATTTTAAACAAAAAACTCCGTTTGACAGTAATAACGTTTAGCTTTTAGTTTTAACAAAACGTTCCAATTCTAAAAGCTACTTCATGTAGCGTTTAACAAAATGCTCCTGAGCTTTTTGAAATCAATTTCCATAATTACCTTTAAAAATATATTTATATATTTATTTCTTTTTAATCAATTATCTTTTTATATAATTTTATATATTTCAAAACCTTCCAGCTATTTTTGCCAAACATATATAACAAATAAAAGCTACAGTTTTTAGCTACCAGTTACTAGTTATATGCTACCAGTTTCCAGTTAACAACTACTTTTATCAAACACACCTTAAACTTAACTACAAATCTGATTTCTCTTAAATGCCGATGATAATTTGATATCCTTCTCAATCTTACCTACTCATTGTCAAGGCTTAAGAGTCTATTGTTTACCGATCATTGTGCCTTTCTAAGTTTTACTTTTTTTTTTGAATAGGATTTATTAAATATGTAAAAAGTAAATATATAAATAAGAAAATTTATTAAAAAATAAATTAATAAGGACACAATAGTCTATTTAGGTAAGACATGACCAAACGCGCAGGAAAAATAAACAGTAGAGAGCATCCAAGTTAAAAAATAAGTTAGGGATCAAAAACTCAAATTCTCCCAAACCATAGGGACCATTTGTGTAATTTAATTTTTAATTATGGTTTTGTTCATATTTGGGTAACTATTTTTTTACACATCTAGGTAATGAACTTGTTGAAAGCGTTCACATTTAGGATTTAACCTGCTATAGCAGGTCATAATGATCACATGTGAACACTTCCAACAAGTTTGTTACCTAGATATGTATAAAAGAAGATAGTTATCCAAATGTGAACATACCAAAAAGTTAATTACCTTAATAAATCATATTCCCCCTTTCTTTTTCCCCCTGATTTCTTAAGTTTTAGCTTTTTTCTGATTTTTAAAATTCTCAACTTCTAGTTTTTTTATTCTTCATTTTGGAATAGAATTCGAGTAAGTTTCTAGTTTTCTAATATAATTAGTCGTGTATTTCTTTTGAGTAAGCATAAAACCAATATAAGAACTTAAAAAATATATATTGCAATTGAAATGTGAAGAATATAAAAAGTTTAAAAATAAGGTGGGAATCTCATTAAAATGGGGTTAGTAGAGGTAGGTGGAGTCAATCATGCCTTCATAGCTTATAATGAGTGTGTTATATAGATAATCTCCCATATGTTTAAACGATAGCATGTAAATGAGACAAACAAGACGAAAGTAAAACAAGGTGTACAACTACACATAAAAATAGGTAAATTATAATACAAACATAAGCATCAACAAGACATAAAAATGTGTCGGCAAACTCAAAGATTATTTTAATAAATCCAACTTAAGAATAAACGTAAATTCTCAAAGTATAATCACTGGATAACATGAACAAACCTTTCGACATATTAATTCTTTTCTTCCAAAATTATAAAAAGAGAATGTGTTATAGGCACTTGACTTTGTAGTGGAAAAAGTCACTTCAATTAGTTTTGGTATTTTAACGGAATTAATTCTAGAGATCCACATAACTATCTTGTGTTAAAAAAGCGAGTTTTAGAAAACATCAAAACTTAACAAAAAAGGGGACTAGGGTTCATGGTAGAGGTGCTAAAAATCAGGTATAAATCGGACTTATTATGAAAATCGCTATCGGGCCCAATTCAAAATTTTAGAACTGGACATATTATGAAAATTTGTAATCACGCTTTCGTAATCGGTTATACTTTAAAGTTTAAAGGATACGACCTTTTTTAACTGATTTTTTTTACACCAATGGTCTTGTGGTTCTAGGTATTTGCATGATTTGTGTCTTAACTTTTTTGCATTGTATGGTTGGTATGTCCTTTTAGTTTCAAAAAATTGCATTATTGGTCTCTCATGTACAATAAGCTCCTACCCCGCATCACCTACTAATAAAATCTATGTTTTATGAATTGCGGCCACCTCTGGCCTTTGTCTTCATCAACACTCATATCTCCTATCTTTTCTTCCCGTTCGACACTGATGCTGACATTCATCTTCATCTATAATGTCGCACCTTAATCTATGATGACCTACATCCTTATCGTTACCATCCATAACATTCTCCATCTCAATCTTCAGATTATGATGAACCCCCACACTATTATGGTGCGTCTTCTTCCGACGCTACACATCCCTCAGTATATCATTCGTCGCTTAAAGATTTTCTTATTTCTTCTAATTCTTGGGGTTTTACCTGATCTACAAGTTTTAGGTCAATACATTATCACATCAACATTGATCAAACTGTATTCGGATGCAATCAAAATGTAACGACCCAAGAACAGTACTAAAAATTTTCATTTGAAAACTATTAGTTTTTCATTCATTGATTGTATCAAAAGCCATTATCCATTACAATATTCCAAAACATTAGAGTACAAATACATCAAGTGCAGAAATCGTGTGGGGAGGATGTTGTGCCATCAGGTCACACTTTTCCCTTTTGAGCTGGAAGGACCTAAAACCATAAACATAAACTGTAAGCATAAAACTTAGTGAGCTTCCCAAATTACCACAAACAACATATATATCATATAACAACACGTGGCTGTGTCAGGTCTGTATCAACCCCCAGGTTCGTATCAACCCAAAATAACAACATATAGCTGTGTCGGGTCCGAATCAATCCCCGGGTTTATATTAACCCCGAGTCCGTAATGACTTCGAGCCCATATAGCTCAATATATAAATCATACAAGCACACAAACAAAATCATATGATAACATACATTTCTACTCATACATTATAATGGATCGACATTGGTGTCTTCGGCCCACTTAAGGTGGTAAGAAGACTCACCTCACAGACAGACGAAAAGATGAACTGACACGCTGCTCTGAAATCCTCACTACCGACAGCTTTACGAACAACAATAATTAAAACTTAGACTACCATTCAAATACCTAAAATACCCCTAGGTCAAACCCTAGTCAAAATCCAGGTCAAAGTCAACCGGGTGGACTTAGTTAATACGTGGGGCGTACCTCGCAGTTGACCGAGGATTGGAGCGTTGACCTCGTACGTTCAGTATACCCTTTAGTACGCCCTACGTATGAGGTTGCTTGCCAACCTCCTAAATAAGTGCTTAATCCCTTAAGCACCTATGTCCAAACTTTAGATCTAGGTCACAAAAGATGCTCTAAACCATAAAGTTTCAAACTTCATGATCTAGCATGGCTATTAAGTCCTTAACACCAAAAACCCTAGTATCTTAACTCATTAAGACCATCTAGCACTTACATGGAGGGAAACTAGTGACCAAGAACCCAACTTTATGACTTAACACCCTTAAAACCTTTGAAAGGACAAATCAAATGTCCTGGAGTACTTTCTACTCACAAAGACATTGTGTGGGACCAAAAAGGAAACAACTTGAGCAAAAACTAGATCCATGAGATTTCTACATCAAGTTTGAAACTTTTTACCTCCACAAAGTGCATAAAGGGGACAAAATACTGGATCCAAAGGCTTGAGAGAAACACCACCACTTCAATAATCTTCCTTCTACTCCAAAAGCTCCAAAGAGCATAAAAAATGGCTCAACAAGCTTCACAATGCACAAACACTCTTTAGGGTTTCGAAATGAGGAGG